TCTCAAACTCACAACAATCCTCCTGCCTCAGCCTCCTGAGTGCTGGGATTACACATGTGTGCCACCACTCCCAGCTTTTTATTTTTAATTTAATTTAATTTTATGTTTGGTACTGGGAATCAAACTGAGGACCTTGTACTTGCCAGGCAGGCTCTTGTGCCACTGAGCTATATCCCCAGCCCCAAAGTGAGGACTTTTTAAAGGCTTCTGAACATCTCTTACAGCTGGCACCATGGCATGTGCCTACAGTCCCAGCACTCTGGGAGGCTGGGGCAAGAGGATGGTAAATTTGAGCCCAACCCAGGCAACTCAGTGACTTAGTGAGATCCTGTCTCAACATAAAAAAGTTTTTAAGGTGCTGGGGATTTAGCTCAGTGGCACAGGGCCTGCCTGGCAAGCACAAGGTCGTGAGTTCGATCCCCAGTACTGGAGGAAAAAAAAAAGAAGTTTTTAAAAGAACTGGAGATCTAGCTTAGTGTGAAGGCCCTAGGTTCAACCCCTAGTACCATCAAAAAAGAAAACACGGGGGTGTAGCTCAGTGGCAAAGCACCCTGGGTTCTATCCCTACTGCTGCACAACAAAAACTCTCCAATTTTTAACCTTTACATCTCTTTTTTTTTTTTTTTTTGAGACAGGGTCTTGCTTGCTATGTAGCTCAGGCTGTCCTTGAACTCAAAACAATCTTCTTGCCTCTGCCTCTCAAAGTGCTGGGATTACAGATGTACCACCATGCTTGGCCTTTTTTATTTGTACCAGGAATCAAACTTAGGACCTTGCACTTGTCAGGCAGGCACTGGTGCCACGGAGCCATATCCCTGGCCTTTTTTGTTTTTTTTGACACAGGGTCTTACTATGTAGTTCAGGCTGGCCTTAAACTCACTATGTAGCCCAGGCTGGCCTCAACTCACAGTGATTCTCCTGCCTCAGCCTCCTGAGTGCTAGGATTACAGGAATGTACCACACCTAGCTTTTTTATTTCCTCTTTTTTTGGCCTCCTTCTGTTTTTTGTTTTTTCTTAGTACTGAGGGTTGATGGCAGGGCTTCTTACATGCTAGATTGTTCCCACTTTAGGACAGACCCTCTGCCATTGATCTATATCCTCAGCCTTTTGACTTTTTTTTTTTTTAAATTTTGAGACAGGGTCTTGCAAAGCAGCTAAATTGATCAGGCTAGCTTCGAACTTGCAATCCTCTTGCCTCAGCCTTCAAAAGTGTTAGGATTAGAAGTATGAGTCACCATATCTGGCCTGTTGTTTTTTGAGACAGGGTCTCACACTGTGATGTTCTGGTCTGGAACTCCTGGTTTATTTTTTGGTATCAGGAATTGAACTGAGGGCCTCGCACTTGCCAGGCAGGCACTGTGCTGTTGAGCTATGGAACTTCTGGTTTAAAGGGATCCTCCCACCTCAGCATCCCAAGTAGCTGGAAATACAGATGTGTGCTACCAGGTCTGGCTTCCCTCCTATATCCTCTGAGGAGAGTACAATGCTTCTTGTTGCTTCTCGCCTGGACAGGGCTACCCAACCATCAGCACAGATACCTCTCCAGTGTGAGTGCCCTCCCAAAGACAACCCTGTCCGCCTACTGGGCGTGGCTGGTACCCACCTTCTGCTCTGGCTGCATCTTCCTGGGCCTGAGCTTGGAGAAGGGGTGGGTAGGCTGGCTGCCTGGCTGGGACCTTGGAGCTGTACTTCCTGTAGACTCGGCAGTTGAGCAGATCCCTGAGGGCACTGTCGTCAAGTTTCTGTGGCAGTGCCACCAGCAGGTTGCAGGCCAACTCCACAGGCACAGCCAACTCAGCCAGGATCTCATCGTCCAGCACGTACTATGGGGAGGGGATCTCACTGCAGGCAGCCCTACACGCAGCGGCTCTCGGGGTGCCTGGAAGGGGGTCTCCCTGCACGGTCTTCCACCCTGAGTACCCCCTGGGTGGCACCTGGCTCCTCCCAGAAAGCCCACCACACCTGCACTGAACTCTGCAGATGCCTCTCCTGTAGCACTTACGCTACCTGGCCCCACTTCCCATCTATGGCCTTCTAGATGTCTGTCCCGCCCCACACAGTGGCCCCTCCACCCTGGTGACTCTACCTCCCCGTCCAGGTTCTCCTGCAGCATCTGGATAACCTCCCGATGGTCAGCCCCGTCCAGCTTCCTGATGAAGAATAGCAGCTCCCACCACTCAGCCTGGCTCAGGTGCTCGCTCTCCTCCGCATCCTCGTCCTCAGGCAGCACGTAAGGCACAGCATAGAGCTCAGTCATGGGCTTCCAGCGCCAGGAGGGCAGCACTGTGGAAATGGACCAAGGGACGCAGTCATGGCACCACCCATCCAGCCAGGCCACAGCCCCCCAGCGTGGTGCTGCTTCCCTGCCCAGCTCACCTCCACCCAGGGCTCCGCTGACCACTGCCTCCTGGTGGTCAGTAGCCTCCACCAAGTCCTCGAAGTCTTCCTCGAAGCCCAGGATCTCCAGCATGTGCCAGTACACCCAGTAGGTGCGGCCCACTGACTCCCACAACACCTCGAGGGAAGAGGAGGGGGCGAGAGGGCTAAGGACTCACTGTGGCCCAAGGATAAGGGTCCAAACCCACAACGTGGCCACCTGGCCAGGTGTGGAAGCAGCTCCAAAAATAGCCAAATGCTGGCACAGACCCAAAGAACACTTTCCTCTTCCGGAATGGCTCTGCCTCTCCTCTTGCCCCATCCTTGCTGGCTCAAGCCTCTACTTTCCACCTGGCCTCCAGCAGCCCAGCTCCTTGATCCTGACCTCTGGGGGAGTCTGACGCTGTTTGTCTCTGGGTGTTGGTCTTCAAAACCCACATTTTCTCAGGTGAGCAGCCCCTCTTTTGATTGCTGAGCCCTTCACCTTACTTAGAGTTTTCTCTTTGCATGGCTCACCAGAGCCAAACTGAACTCCATCACAGTAGTGCCCAGCAGTGCCCCACCACCGTGTGCCCCTCACCTGCGCAGGGGGCACGCCACTGTTGCTTCGCAGGAACTCGCCCTCATCCCCAGCACTGATCTCCTCATAATCCTCCAGCATCCGCACTCGCATGCCCGGCTGCAGCACGTCCCGCACGTATAAGGCGTAGGTATTGCCACTTGCGAACTCGGTTCGAGAGCGGAACTGCCTTGACCTCCTGGAGTGCCGGGCCGGGCTGGGTGGGAGCACTGGGCTGGCATCTACTGGCTGAGGCTGGAAGATGGAACAGGGGGACCGTGCCGAGCTTCCTGGTCTGCCTGAGGCCCGGTCCCAGCACATAGCCTGCACCAGCTCTGAGATCAGGGTGCCCATGGCCATACTGAATTCCACATCCAGCCGGCCTCTCTCCTTGCTCAATTCTGCAGGGGCTTCTGATTCCTGAGCGCTGCTGTTCAGCTGATCCAGGAGGAAGTTAGCATGCAAATACCGCTTCACCAGGGAGAAAAGCAGCCTTCCTGGGACCTGTAGGATACAACTTTGGTCTCCACCCCTCTTGTCACTGTTCCCACCCCTCTTTCCACATTGTCCCCAGGGCCAGGTGCAAAGGCCCGGTCCTTGGATCTCATTCCCAGCTTCCCCTACCCTGTCCCCAGGATACCTGTGGCAGCTGAATGCCCTCGAAAGACATGGGGTGTTCAGCTAGCGTGGCCTGTGCAAACAGCGCAAGCAGGGCACAGCGGCTGTCGAAGTCCAGGTGCTTCTCGATGGCTTCTTGTTGGCTCAATGACAAGAGGATCTGGGTCCGTGTTCCTGTAACCCACACCCCAATCAGTAACTGCTCCCTGAATTCACCCTTCCCAGGTATCTACCCTACGCTTTCTACTCAGTAAAAATCATCTTCGTACTACTTGTTGGGAATGATATGATTTGTCGCTATGCTTCACAAGTTACAACTTACTATCTTATTCATCCACAGATACACAATGTGCAGTAGTCTAAACACTTCCTTTCATAAAAAACCAATTAATAGGAAGTTCTTGCAGATTTTTTCCTTTTTCTGCAGATGTCCCCACCCCAACCCCAACCCTGCTCCCCTCCTTTTCTTCCATCTCTCCGAGACGGGGCAACAGAATTGTTTCTATACTAATGAAGGTCCTGCCAGTGTCTGAACGCCTGAGCTGCCCCAGCCCCTTTCCTGCGCTCCCTCCCTCCCCGTGCTGCTCCTCACCAGCATCATGGGAGGACAGAGCCTGTATCATCCGTCCAGCGCTCCAGCGAATCTGGTAATCAGGGCTACTCAACATGTGCACGAGCAAGTCCAGGATCTTTGGGTCTTTAAAGACCCCAGTGAGGGGCTCGATGCTGGCATAGGCGCTGAGCACGTGGACGGTGTGGAGCAGGGGGGCAGGAGGGACAGTACCCACACACTCCTCCAGCTGCCGAAGGGCCCTCTGAATCAGGGACTTCACGTCGGTTTCCATCTCCTTCAGCACAGATTTGTCCAAGGTCCCGGACTCTGCTGCAGACTCCTGGGAGGGCCCGATGACCTGGCCGTTCTCGCCCAGCATCTTGTGGCAGTTGGCATAGATCTCATCGTCAGACATCCACAGCAGGATGTGCTCAGCCTTGCAGTGCACTTGGCCAGAGCTTCCTTCCCCGTCCTCTCCGCGCCTGAGGATCAGCCAGCGGATCTGATACTCAGGGTGTCCGTCGTGGCCCACTCGCTGTCGGATCAACTCGTCAGGATAGGCGTGCAAGCCAGGCCCCAGGGGCACCCTGAATTCCCTGTAGCGGAGTTCCCCCACCATCCTGGAGCCTAGGACACACACGTGAAAGAGAATAAGCAAGAGTGACCGGGTAGGTCAGAAAATCAAGCCCATCCAAGGGTCATGGAAACAAAGGCCACAACAGGGGCAGGTCCGGGTAGGGTAAGGGTGAGCCCAGGAGTTGCCTGCTGCAGGGTGGGTGGATGGAGCCAGGGCCAGGCAGGGGGACCCTGGGAGCTAGACGGTTGTCACCAAGGCTTGCAGCCTGCAGTAGAAGACAGACAGACCAGCCTTGGAGTCAGAGCCCGAAAGGCCTGGGGCAGGCAGCTCAGCTAGGGAAGGGAGTGAGGCCTGAGGGTGCCAGGGCTCGGAGCGGGAGCCCCAGCACATGCGGACACGGGTGCTTTCTCTAATACCTAAAGGGCGGGATTTTGAGTTGCTAGGTGAAAGAAAAAACTGAAGGAGAAGTGGAGCGTCAGGGCGATGGCCAGGGAGGTGCGGGTGGCTGGCGACAGTGATGCATGGAGCAGCTGGACGCCGCCGAGGCTGGTGCGGACGCTGCGAGCCCATCGGGAGTGGGGGATGGGGTGGGTGGTGGAGCGTGCAAGAGTGGGGCTGGGCCGACGCAGAACTCTAAGCCGGCAGGGAGCGGGGCGGGAGGTGGAGTGGGCGCAGGGGTCAGGGTGGGGTTTGGGCCACCTTAGGAGTGCACTGGTTCGAACGCGAGCCCGTCTTCCACGCTGGGGGCGCACCGTGTTGGAGGCGGTGAAGCTGCCGGAGGCCTGCCCCTAAAGGAGTCGCGGTGGAGCAGGAGGTGTGTCTCCGGGGGCGGGGAGAGGGGCGCGGCGCGCGAACCTGGCCCCAGCAGGGTCACTGCGCCGGGCGGGCAGCCTTGGAACACAGCAGGCCTGATCCTCGCCCGCGCTGGGCCCAGCTCGGGGCCTCCACTGCCCAGCCCGCGGTTCATTTCCGCCAGACCCAGCGGAAAGCAAGGGGCTGGGACCGATGGGCGGCGCCGACTGCCACCTCGGCGACGCAAACCCCTCGTTAGCACCGCCCTTTCCTCTTCCTCTCCATCCTTCTTCCCGCCACCGGAAGTACCTTCCCACTTCCCAAAGCAGTACAGCTGGGAAAGGGTTCGGAGGTCATCTGTACCTCCAGCGCCCCATTGCCCTTTTCTTTTCTCCCCGCCGTACGTTTGCTCCTTTTACCCACGACCAGTCTCTACTCCCTCCAAAAACCAAACATACATAAAAATGGGGCATTTTATTACAGTTCAGAGATATCAGCTTTGAGCAGCAGCAGAGGGCAGCTTCACATAACTCTTCATAGGGGGCAAAGGCCGAATCTTGCGACCAGCCCAGCCCCCTTTGCGGTGCCACAGCCCGCTGTTCGGCCTCTTGCCCAGCCAGCGGTTCCGACCGGCTTTGCCGATGACCCGTTTGTTATGATCGACGTTGGACACTCGGCCCACTGTAGCTGTGCATGTCTCCAGCACCTGCCAGAGAAAGCAGAAGGGTAAAATGGACGGTCCAGGGCAGGTGGGGAAGTTGGGGGCCTAGCAATGGTGTCAGCGTGACTCTGACACATTGTCACACTCCGGGACAGGAGAGGGGAAAGCACAATGTAGCTGAGCATAAGTAGGAACTGGATAGTTGAAAACGGAAGATGCTGTTCCTTATTCCATTCTGGTGGCATTGTGATGAAGCGTGCTTAGGCATGTGTCGAAGGACAGACTCAGCTGGAAGCAGCCTGGAGCTACAGACACAGACCCCCTGGACCCCACACACCTGCATCTGCCTCTTCGAGGGCAGCTGGATAATGGCTGTCCCGTTCACCTTCCTCAGCAGCACACCACATGTCCCTGGGGAAGGGAGGAGCAGCTTTGCCACCTCCACAGTGGAGGAGGAGTGGGGTTTCCCTGGGGCCACATCCCACATGCTGCCCTTGCCTTACCCTTTAGGGGCAGATACAACAAAGAAGAATGTGTGCCATTTTTTAGGTCAAAACACAACACGAAAAAAAAAACAACACACATTCATCCTCATGTCCCTCTTTACTTCCTTTTCTCTGCCCTCAGGCTAGATGTGGGCCCATGGGTTCTGAGAACCATGATGTCAGGTACCCTTAGCCTTCCATACTGGGGGGCCTGGGCTCTTTCCCCATACCTGCAGCTCGGATATACTGGGCCCCTCGGCCTGGTTCACTTTCCACATTGTTGATGAGGGTCCCCACAGGTAGGGCCCCAAGAGGATGTGCATCCCCTTCCTGAGCAGCAACTAAAAGACAGGATTCATCAGGTCTCGAACCTTTGCAGCCTCCAGCCCACACACCCAGCAGCCACCTCTCACCTGCCATCCGGCCTATCTTGTTAGAGTTTAGGATCACATCTCCTGCCTGCATGTTTTCTGTGGCAATGATCCAGCGTTTCCGGCTGCCCCCAGCAACCAGAGCTATGTCTGCTGACCTGTTCAGGATGGACAAGTGAGGAGACAATCCAGGAAGTCCTCACATTTTCTGAAACGCTACACAGCAGACATTCACACTACAATGCCATCATCCCTGTTATGGTTTGTGTCTGGGTGTCCCCCCAAAGCCTCATGAAGTCATGGGGCAGGCTTTTAGAGTCTGATTGATTATGGGTGTGAGAGCTACACCTGCCCTGGTGTGGATAGTTTGCACATGTAAGGGAGAGGAAGAGGCTGCTTGCCGCCATTCCTCCGTTTTAGTGATTGTTGCTTTTGCTGTGTTCTGCCGCCATAAGCTGTAGCCCTCTGCCATGTGCCACTCTGCCTTGTAACCTGCCAAGCATGGACTGAAACCTCCACAAAACTGTAAGCGAAATAAACCTTTCCTTCCTTAATTTTGGGCATCAGGTATTTTGTCCCAGCAACGAGAGGAAAGTAACCAAGACAGTCCCACATCCCAGACTTGCCTACAGGGATCATAGCGGACTCTGACCACCTTCTCCTCAAAGGGTTCTGGCTTGGCCTCCTCCTCTGGCCGGAAACGCAGAAAGTCAATCATGCGATAAAGTTGCTTGTGGCCTCCACCAATACCATGGACACTGATGCGGCCTACAGTGGAGACAGAGGATATGATCCAGTTTAGACTGGCTCAACTCCCAGCATGGGGACCAGGTCTGTGCAGGGCCAGAATGCAGCGCTTCCCAGCAATTACGGCACAAAGAGAAAGCAATAAAAATTTGCATAGCCTACTAGGGTGGGGGTGGGGTGCAACATGTACACGGAGTTTAATAAAAATAGATGATTACTGAAATTGTATAAAACTTCCACATACATTCTTTTTGAACTGCTAGATTCAGCAGGTTAACAAAGCACCATGTCAATTGTACTCAAATACTTTTGACTTATAAATTTCGGAAGGGTGTAAAAGAAATTGTCATGGCATTTCTTCTGTATGGTCAGCTGTCTGTTGCTTTGTCTCTGGCTCCAGCGATGTTCCACATGCAGAAGGACCCCCTTAATAAATGCTTAATTACATTCTTCTGCCAACTTACAAAGCATGAATGTGTTATACAGGTCTAAACTCCCAGTACGTTTTCCCCTTTTCTGCTTACATCTCCTTGTCCTTGTTCCCACCTGTGTGGTCTCGACCCCCAGACTTCCTCATTTTCACTGGTCTAATGGTGTACTTGGTACAGCTCTTCCAGGACATAGTCTTGGCATTAACGGCCACAGAAGTAAGGAGTGGGCGGCAGGAGAACATCAAGGTAGAGGGCAGCTGGGGGAGGGCACTGCTCATCACCTAGAAATACAAAGAAATCTTCATTTGCAACCTAATTGAAGGAGAAGCATCAGAGAACCAAGGAAAGGGCACAGACCTCCCAGAAATGTCCCAGAGCAGCTGTCCAAACCCTCCACTCTTCACAGCTTGCACAAATATCAGTGCAGTGTTTAACCAGGTGTTCATCACCTCTCCTCATTTGATCCTCTCACCTCTTAATTATTTAATGGAATGTGTGTTCCCCCCACCCCCCGTGGTCATCTCCTTCCACCTTTAGCTCAAAATCTCCTTCTCTGGAAGCTTTTTCTTCCCCAAAAGCTTCTCTAGAATCAGTAACTTCCAAATACCACTGTTAACAATGATATTTGCCCTCTGCATTATGTTCTGGGAATTTTTCATCTATGAATGGAAGAGTGGGATCATTTATGTCTTGTTCCTTGGTGGATTCCCAGTAGAGAGTAGGTTGGTTTCTTACAGTAGGTTAGTTCGGTTTTGAACTTTATCCATCTGCCAAACTCTTAACAAAATCAGCCTCAGAATCCCAGAGGAGTAGGTTTCTTTCTGTAATTCACCACTTGTCCAGGAGGGACCTGGGAAATCCTGAGACTTCTATTTTTGGAATCTTGTCTTGGATTCTTTAATCTCAGCAAAAACTGCATCTTTGTAAGTATCATAATGGGTAAGGAGCACAGAATGGGGCAGGGGGTTACATAGCTCTGTGATACAGCAGTGCTTAGCACACACCAGGCCCCGGGTTCAATTCCCATCTCCAAGGAAGGTGGGGAACAGCCTCTGAAGCTGACTTCCTAGCTCCAAGCTCCCATGTTGGTGTATGACCTTGGACTGCTCATAGGTTTTTCTCATATATGTAAAATGGGAATGCTAACAACTATCTTATAGAGTGGTTGAAAGGAGTTCATTTATGTATTTGAAATGTTTCTGTTTTGTTGTTGTTTGTTTTTTGAGACAGGGTCTTGCTATTAGTTCAGGCTGGCCTTGAACTCACTCTGCAGCCCATGCTGGTCTCGAACTCTCGGGGATCCTCTTGCCTCAGCCTCCCAAGTGCTGCGACCAGAGCCGTGAACCTTCAAACCTGGCCGTATTTAAAATGTCTATTACTCATGTCTTCTTAAGCATAAACATTCAACAACCTGATCTGAAAAGCACTTACATCCCAGTGTCTCATCTGAAGACTCTCACCCTATAAGACAGCGGTACTTATAAAAGAGACAGCCGCCAGGCGCGGTGGCGCACGCCTGTAATTCCAGCACTTGGGAAGCTGAGGCAGGAGGATCGCCACGAGTTTGAGACCTGCCTGGACTGACAGTGAACTCAGTGACTGCTTGAACTACCCATCGAGACCCTGTCTCAAAAAAAAAAAAAAAAAAAAAAAAAAAGTATAACAGTGCTGAGGTCGAGAGCGATTTATACGAGGTGCCGGGCCTGCTTAACCCCCGACCTGACTCGCTTGCACTCCAGTCTCCCATCCCGTCTGCCCTCTCTCCGGCGGCCCAAACGGAGACAGCCTCCTTGTCCGGTAATGAGGATTACCTGAGCGGTAGGGAGCAGACGAGAGGCGTGTCCATTAACAGCTGGGGGCGCCAGGCTCAGAGAGCCCAGAGCGCGAGTCAAAGACCACAGAGCCATGAGAGCAGAAATGACCCTCAGAGCTCAGCGCGCTACTCCTAGAATTTGGTTATCCGGCGCTCTGGGTGACGTCACCAGCCCGGGGCTGTCTCTTTCCAATGACGTTAGGAGGACGAAAGAGAACTGGAGGCCGCGCCGGAGAAACGCCTCCGCTCCGCCCAGAGCGCTTTCAGAGCCAATCCTCGTGTGCCTCTGAGGTCTCGTGACAGAGGAACCGCCCCCGCCCCGAGAGCCGTCAAAACAATTGCCGCGAGCGGCAGCCATGATGGATTTAAAGGGGCAGTACCGGCAAAGGAGGCAGCCAGATCGACAGACTGCAGGTGAGTCTTTGAGGGTTCCGCTGGGGCTGAGGAATAAAGCCTTGGCCATCTCTTATCCTTGCATTCCCAGACAGATGAACAACCCCCTACCGATGAACCTCAAGAAACTCCAGATTCAAAACTCCGCCCCCCGCGATTCTTCCCCGCCCCCCGACGTCCAGACGGACGGACAGACGGCCCGCCCCGCCCCCTGCGCGCAGACCGGCCGTGACCTCGGGGTGTCTGGGTGTCAGGTCCTCGTCAGCTACGCAGATCTCGGCTCCACGCCCACACGCCGTCCCCTCGGCCCCCTCTTGTGTCACTGTCCCCACTCTAGGCCCAAGGGCAGGTCCGCAGCCCGGGCCACTTGATCGCAGCCCAAGTGCCCAAGACTTGCTGCCCGCGTCCCTAGGACCGAGGCACCCAGCAGTTCTCTTTTTCTTCCCGGCATAGCAGGCCCCTGAGAGGCACCCCAAGGTGCTTCCTTCCAGAGCCTGTTATAGGCGATGGTGACAGAGAAAGCCATGGAAGTAACTGGGCTAGGATTGACCGGGCTTTGCTCCTCAGCCTGTCTCAGACACACCCCTGCCCCGCAGGTCTCTGATTTAATCAGTGTCTTCCTTCTTGGGAGAAAGTAGCTCCCTAGGGCAGGAGGAGGGACATTGGTCGTCTTTGAAGACCTGTAGGCAGGAAGGAGGGTGTTTGTCCTGGGTGGGGCTCTGTGCCAGGTCCTCTGGGTGGCTGAAGTGGCGAGAGAAAGGGTGGGACTGCCGGACTTCTGGACTTTGGGCAGAGCAGATCCTCCTGAATCCTTGGTTGCTGAGTATAGAGTTTCTTCCGGGCCAGGCCTGAGCGCTGTAGCCAAGGGCTGTGCTCTGTACACAGGTAAGAGAACTGCAAAGGTGAGGAGCGAGGCCCTTTTGAGGAAGTGGGAAGGCAGGCCGAGTCCTAGGGGCTGGGAGGTACGTCCCGAAGGCTATGGGGAAAGAGGACACAGGGTGAAGACCTTGAATCTTCTGGAACCCTCTCCTCTGGGTCCTCTGAGGAAGACTCCTGTTTTTTTTTTTTTTTCCTCCTCTCTTCCCTGATTTAACTTTGAAACTTACTTTTCTGTTTTGAGGATATCTGTTGTCTACTTTAACTGTGTTCCCTTTGCAGCTCTCCCGAAGTCTCTGCTTAATCTCTGTAGTGCACTCACCCCCACTTCCTTTCCCTACAAACGCTCCCATTCCTGTTCTGTTTTCTTTCTTTTTTTTTTTTTTTTGTCTTTTTTTTCCTGAGCTACTGTAGATTAACTCCCAGGCCTACACACTGAGCTACACCCCGAGTCATTGTCTTTTTTTTTTTTTTTTGAGACAGTCTCGATATGCAGTTTAGGCTGGCCTTGAGCTCACTTTGTAGCCCAGGCTGGTCTCAAACTCCTGACGATCTGCCTGCCTCGGCCTCCTGAGTGCTGGGTTTACAGGTGTGCATCCCTATGCCCAGCTTCTGTTTTGTTCTTAAGTCCTCAATCCCTCTGCTAGCACCTTTGCTCCTTCTGTGGACTTTCCTCCTTCAAGTCCATTCCTTTCCTTCATCTTAACTTTGCATTTGGTGGCCTGCAAATGCAAATACTCTCCCTGACTAAACCACAGGGTCCCCATACTCTTGTCCCTTCACTTGGATCTCCACCACCCACCCGCTTAACAAGATGCTCGGCCTCTGGCTCATCTTTATCCAAGCTGAACTGTGTTATTTCTCTCCAGGCCCGGCGAGGTCCCCCTGACCAGGATGTCGGGCCTGGTGTTGGGACAGCGGGATGAGCCAGCAGGTCACCGGCTCAGCCAAGAGGAGATCTTGGGGAGCACTCGGCTGGTGAGCCAAGGGCTAGAGGCCCTACACAGCGAGCACCAGGCCGTGCTACAAAGCCTGTCCCACACCATTGAGTGTCTGCAGCAGGGAGGCCACGAGGAAGGGCTGGTGCATGAGAAGGCCCGGCAGCTGCGCCGTTCTATGGAAAACATTGAGCTGGGACTGAGTGAGGCCCAGGTGAGAGAGGAGGGTGGTGCCAGGTGGTTCAGAGTGCACGGAGGAACAGTTGTCTGAGTGGAAGTTTGAGGAGGTTGTTTGGAATCACCTTGTCCTACGGTGGTTGCATTCAGTAAATGCCTGTTAAGCCTGCATTATGTGCCAGGAACTCCTCTGGGTACTGGGGAAGCATCATTGAAGACAGTAATGAAAACCTTTGCCATCTGAGGGCTGACAGTACACAAATAAATGATTCAGCATGCCAGAGTGATAATCACACACACACCTATAATCCCTGCTCCTTGGGAAGCTGAAGCAGAAAGATCAAGGCCTGCCTGGGCAACTTAGGGAGATTAATGTCTCAAAAAATAAAAAGGGCTGGGGTTTGTAGTTCAGTGGTAAACCATACACGAGACCCTGGTTCCATCCCCAATACCAGAAGTAAGTAAATAAATAAATGCAAGGAAGACCACTGAAAAGTGTTAGGTCCCCAAAAGGACCCCTGCCCCTTGCAAAAAGAAAAAGCGCCCCAGCTGTACTCCTGCACTTGCCCAAAGGGGCCCAACTGCCAAGGCCAACCCCGCCCCTAAAAATACCTAATGATCTTGCAAAAATGTTCTTACAAAATAACGACCCTAACCACAAACACCTCTCCCTTAGCTGTTCTGGCTGGCAAACATCCTGCCCACCCCCCAAATCCTTAAAAGCAAGAGCTTTATGCACAGCTCAGTGCTGTCTTGGTCTGCTCGGCAGCCCATCACATCGCTCTCCTGCCTAATACTCTCCTCGTGTCAGGCGGTCTGGTTCGGTTCTGTGTGGGTTTCTCGGTCCAGTCAAAAAGGTGATGTCTAAGCAAGATTTCAAGGTGAGAGAATGCCTCATGATTAAGTAGGGAAGCTGTATCTGAGCAGAGAGGGAGAACAGCAAGTGCAAAGACCTGATTTAGCCAGGACATCAAGACACTGTTGTGACTGCGATAGAATGAATGAGGGAAAACAGTGAAAAATCAAGTCTGAGGAGTAGTGGGGTTGGGAGAGAGGGGACAGATGATGTGGAACTCGTAGGCCATCAGAAGGACTTTGCTTTTACTAAAGAGAGGGAAATGGTTGGAATGTTTTGAGGAATGATGTGGTCTCTTGCTATCATCTGGCTGCCAAGCTGAGAATAGACTAGGGAAATTTGGGGGGTTTTTTGGTACTGGGAATCGAACTCAGGACCTTGTACTTGCCAGGCAGGCACTGTTCCGCTGAGCTATATCCCCAGCCCTGACTAGGGGAATTTGAACAGAATAGGGAGGCCATGTGGGAGGCTGATACGGTTATTCAGGTGGGAATTGGTGGCCTGGCTGAGGCTAATGGCAATGAGATGGAGGGAAATTGGATTTGGGGTATATTAAGAGGGTAGAGCTGCTGCTCCACACTCCTGCCCACTGGCTCCTCTGTGCCCTGCCAGATTGAGCCCCTCTCAGGAGGCTTCCCTCCTGCCTGTCCCTGAACACTGTATCCAGAGCCCCAAGCTCACAGGCTGTGCCCACATAGGTGATGCTGGCCCTCGCCAGCCACCTGAGTACAGTGGAGTCGGAGAAACAGAAGCTGCGGGCTCAGGTGCGGCGGCTGTGCCAGGAGAACCAGTGGCTCCGCGATGAGCTGGCTGGCACCCAGCAGCGGCTGCAGCGCAGCGAACAGGCTGTGGCCCAGCTGGAGGAGGAAAAGAAGCACCTGGAGTTCCTCGGACAGCTGCGGCAATACGACGAGGACGGGCATGCCACGGTGAGCAGGTGTGGGCTGGGCATCAGGGCCTGTGATCAGGGCAGTTGCCCCTGATCCTCAGGGGCCAGCAATAGTGCCCAACCAGTCCCCACCCGGGAGAGTTCCTTTTCCAGTCCTGGCACCAACTCCAGGTGACAGCAGAGGCGAAAGCAGTTTTCAGTCATTCAGCCAACATGGAACGTGTGCTAGGCACTGTGCACTGCCTCAGCACATGGGCAGCCAGTGCTTTTTCTAGTGGTCATACGTTTGTGAGGGGAGGGAGATAAGCACTGGACGATGCACTCTCCAATCCTGGGTCCTACAGTCAGAGAAACCATAGCCCAAGTTGCATAAGACCTTCTTGACATTTGCTCTCAAAGTGAGTGAAATTCAACTCTTACTGAGCAGGCTTTTATGATGATGCACAGCTTTCTGTGCCTGTTCAGTGACAGAAGTGTGTAGAAGAGACGCAGAAAACCCTGGGAGTAGCCAGGTGTGGTGGTGGACACCTGTAACCCCTGCATTCGGAGTTGATGTAGTCTGAAGGATAATACAGGCAAAGAGGTGCTTTCCAGGCTGGAGAGAGGGTCCAGGCTGCAGAGCTGGTCTGGCCAGCGAGAGTACCTAAGTGATTTGCGTGACACACGGCAGTGAAGCTGGTAGGAGGTTGGAGGCCTTTGTATGAGGTCAGATTCCTACTGGGAGAAGCACATTTTTCCAGGGTGGAATAGGGTACATGATGAAAGGCTGGAACTGAGTCCAGAGCACGCAGGGGCCCATGATAGGCATGAGGCTGAGCTGGACACTTTGGGTATGTGTCAGGAAGATCAGACATGCTCCATCCCTCAGGACAGACAGGACAGACGTATAATCAGTTTAAACACACAGGGATCAGCATGGGGCTATAATTGTAGGAGTTGAGCTGGGGGAGGGGGAGACTGGACAGTGAGGGTGGTAAGGAAGGGAACTTTCTGGGTGTGAAGGAAAGGACAGTCTGAAGATCCTGTCCTGGCTGGGAGTGATAGCACATG